TGATCTCGCTTGAAGGTCGTCCTCTCCCCAGATCAAGGTTTTTTGGTGGAGTACGGCAAGAATATTGATATGAGAGACTCAGAGAGAATGAGCAGCACTTGGTGGTCCGGGATTAATCAGTTCCGGGACTGTCGCACATGGACTGAGCGTTCAGGCTGGTCCAAAGAGCGTGCTCGCCGGGACAAAGATGGAGATACAGAGGCAGCGAAGACGACAAAAACGAGAAGGGTGAGGAGCGGGAGAGACGGGATTTCACAACATTAGGCTTGCGGAGGTCTGTAACAGGTTGTAGAAATCCTCTGATGAGTAGCAGACCGCTTCGGGCCCCTCGTCCGCAAAAGCTAGATAGAAGAGACGGTCCATCCCATTTTCTCGAGCTACGACGGCCATTGAGGCAACCTGGAAGATGTCGCTCTCGGCCGATATGAAGATCCCAGCGAGAAGGGGGTCCGGATCTTGCCGAAAGCGGGCGATATCTTGTGCCGTTAGGGACGTACGGATGTGATGGTGAATAGAGGCGGCGGTGAAGGGATGGGCGGGCATCACCAGAGGGTAAAGGGAGGATGGAACGGTGACTGGAGCGGAAGGAGTTTCGACGGGAGCCATGCCCAGTTGTTTAGCGAGATATGGATGCATGTCGGCACGGGCGGGCAAGCGCATCTCGACCTTCTCATAGGTGACATTGTTGCTGTAACAGGCGTTGAACAAAAGGATCGAGAGAAAGGTGAGCCACATACTGAAGGGAGGTTTTAAACCGCATCATCTCCAGGAACACAGCGGGATCCTCCCCGGCCTTCATCATACTCAACCGACAAAGGAAGTATAGCACGCTCACGGCCTTGACCCGACTGTAGTGGCGAGGTGAGGAAGATGCAAATGAATCTTGGGACCTCATACTCCATTATGTCAACTGCCTTCGGTTCCAAAGTACGCGTGAGATCCTCGATGTGGCGGTCCCAATCGTCGCGGGGGGGGAAGGTCATTAGAGGGCGCACTACTTACGCGTTCCAGCTCTTCGTATGCCGCGGCTAACTCGTTGGGATGCTGGCGCAGGACTGCTGAGTGTTCTTCGGTGAGACGTTCCCACTCGAATACAGCCTGGCCGACGCCGTGGGCGATTTTGAGTTGCGTCGAGGAAAGAACCATGGCGAGAAGGAAATGGAATGCTCCAACCATTTGCCAAACAGGGGGTTTTTGATCTGTCATGCATCATGCATCATGCATCATGCATCACGCATCACGATCAAGCCGGTACGATCAAGCCGGTTTGATACGGCAAGCTCCGGGTCGATCTCTCTTTGTTGCATAACGTCAACGGTCAACATAACGTCTACCCTTGCCGCCACCGCAATTAGGAATCTTAGCTGGCTACTCGTTGCTCACTCTTTGTTTCCGATATCCTTATGACCCCATAATTCTAACTGTCTACTCTCTGTGTTTGCCAACGGGTGTCACAACTTGAAGCACTTTGCCATTGAGTTGACGGCGCTCCAAGCACTCGAGTTTCAAGAGGCGCTGGCCAGGCAGCAAACTTCTTGACGTTGAACGAGCTTTGTCGGGCTTCTGCATGGCTCTGTACGTCCCAGTTTTTCCCTGTCGTGCTCCCAGACTCATCCTTTTAGGCGCATAATTACAAGACAGACACCCGAGTCCGAATCTGAATCCGAACCAGACTGGGACCCAGAAGCCCAATATGCGCAAGATATTGCATCGGATATAGCTCTGGAGATTCGTCTGAGACAGCGTCTGGCGAACACACTAGAATGTCGGATCGAATGGGCTCTGATGCTCCAACAATCTCTGTTAAATGGTACATATATCGATTCACTCCTTTGCATGCTCTCACCCTTTTCAATTCTCCAGATGCTTCTGATACCACTGAGGTATCGGACTTCAAAGACGTTGCTCTAGACGCACTCTCTGCGATAGACACACCTACCGAAATCCTCTTCGCGCGCGACGTACCAGTCCCTCGTTTAGATACGCGTCGCTTGTCGGTCGCCAAAAAACCGCGAAAAAAGCCCACTGCGCGCGCACAATTAGCTAAAAAGGGCGTCAAATTTCTCTACATCCACCGCGAGGGCAGCGCCACGCCGAACATCCTGCGATGTCCTGTGTGCATGCGCACCGATTTCATATCACTCCACGGATTGTTCAGCCATGCGCGGGGGACGCATTCGCTCGCATGGAGCTCCCACGACGAATGTGTGCGCCATTGCGCATGCAGGCTGGAGGACGTGCAAGGTGGCATCATAGACTTCGCCGACTTGGACGCCGGCGTCAAGGTTGAGATGGGCGGGGTACTTGGTCTGCAGAGCCTCTTCGAGAAGGCGGTGGGCGTGGATGAAGAGCAGGAAGGCGAAACAACTTTGAGCCGGACGTTGGGTTACCACATCGACACGCCGGCTCTCGCGACTTTTCTGGGACGCGAACCAATCCGGCGCGGGGTAGTGGTCTGGGATCCCGATACGGTGGTCGATGTCGATGGATTTGGCGACGAAAAGGCGCACGCCAAACCTCCCTGGCGCATGCCATTCTCGCACCGCAACGTATACAAGGACATCCCATCAACGACATCGACCGAAGTAGCATCAGCTCCAGGATCTCATTTGAGTGTTCTCCGACCTCTATTGAATGCCCCTGGCCCCGCCAACGGGCTGCCGGCGAGCAGCCGATTCCACATTGTTACTCGCATCGTCGTCATGGACCGAAGTCTCTGGATTCCACCAGGTACTTCATCAAATGTCCTTTTTCCAAGGTTTCATCTCTATTCTTCTCAGATCAGCGACTCGGAAGCGACACACACAAGTGGATGATCTCTGTTGATGCGCCTTCGTATGTTAGTACAGTACTAACAATCCTCCCTTCCTCCATATTCTGACTCCTATGCGAGACAAACCACATAACGACCGTCCTTCAGAGCCTCACGGTAATCGGACCCATAGGGCCCCTCATCACCGCTGCACCGCCGTTTATGGTTATCGGCACCGCGGCCGTGCCCTTTCTCGCTCGGCTCGAGCTCGCCTTCAATCCTACAAACATCAGCGGCCCGCCTCAGAAAATTGTGCTGGAACATTGGGTTGAGGTGAGCTGCCCCTTCTTTCTGCGGGATCTTGCCCATGGTTGTGCACAGCTGGACCGCGTGCAAAGTATGAGTGTTGCCGTCGGCGAGCAGCAGATTGTCGACATCGAGCTGGACCGCGGGACGCTGTTCCGCCCGGCGCAGGCCAAATATGTCCCCCTTACCGCGCGGGCGCTTTGGGACATAGATTTGGAGAAGGAGCGGTACACGCCGGTGGAAGACCCCACAGCCGCCACCGACGTTGTGATGACGAAAGCTCCCGGTCGCGGGCCTGAGAAAGATGAGCGCATGACCCGCAATACTCTTCCGAAAGTCAAGATCCTCGGCGGTGTGTGTCGTCTCTCCAGGCTACACCACCGCTCATTCACAGGTTAGGTTGGCCGAACGTTTTGAGGAAGCTGGTCGAACGGTTCCCCTTAACTCTACGAGGTGGGGTCCCTTTTTTGGATGTCTACTCTAGTACTGACGAGGACGAAAGACGTTAAAGGGGGTAAGCAACCCAGCCCTGCGCTCGCCTATAGACTGGTCGCCACCCCTGCACAGTTTTCCTCCCTCGTGATGGGGCGGAAGAAGGCTATCGAGGTATATATGCTCTGTTCTATATGTTGGGACATTGTTCCCAATCTTATCATAGTGGGGCCGTGCCATGGCCATGCGCGATGCGTACAGTGACGCAGTCCTCGGCGGACTGACAGAAGACGTTACTGTGCTAACCACCGCCGATATCTTCGCATGGCTACACGAAAACGGGTATTTCCCGAGAGGTGTAGAGACACTCAAGAAGGAACAGGATATGCAGACCCTCAAGACGGGGTTCTGCCGCGTCTGTGGCCTCGCGTACCGGCTTCACGCCATCGTCGGCGATCTTCCGATCTCGGTCAAGGCTGAATCACGACCTAATCTCTTGCTGACTGGCGTCGGGGATGCATTTGTATGCCACATCACTCCGATGGAATGGCAGATGAAGCGCCCGCCCGTGATCGACATTAGTCGCCTCTTGCCTCGCCGACATTATGCTCCTGTGCCACTGACAACCTCCGCGACGATGATTCCTCCCAACGCACATCGGGACAGCCCAGCCCGTGTCCGCGACAGTGATTGGCACTCTAGGGCCCCCATCCTACTCGCAATCTCCGATCCTAGAATGATCTCTGCCATTCGCGAGCTGGTGTCTGCCCTGAAGCTGCCTTCTTTCCTCACTCCCTCCACCACACCAACCACGTCCTTGGATCTGCCACGATTCCCCATCGATCCCGCGCTTTCCCCTGCGGAGGTGCGGATGGATATTGCGCCGTACGCTATGCTTTCCCTCCTGACGAAGCAGTTTCTTCGTGCACTCGTTATGACCGGGGTGGCAGCCGCCACCCGGGACCGGCAGCGTGCTATGGCGCAGATCGATGGGCGCGCGCGGCGGTCTGCCAATGTCGCCGAGCTGTTCGGCGGGGACGAGCGACGGATGCTCACGCCGTCACACATTTTGCGGGGCATTGCTTCCCGGGGCTGGGACTGGAATGACGAGCTGGGCATGGCAATGCTGGGGGCCCTTGCCCGCAGCGGTGTACCGTTGCAACAGCCGCGGGTCGCGACAGAGAACGTCTCTAGCACTCGTTCTGTTGCAGGCGCTTAGGAGCTCATAGTTAAGATGGAGCCTTCCAGAAGTGCGCATCACGTTCCCGATGCTTCACCTCTGGAAGGTTGCATCATTTGAAGTCAAACAAACCGTGATTTTATCTTATCGCAAATTAAACGATCCGTGGCGATGGAGCACCCATAGTTTTCTAGGGTGGTTGAGGGTACCGCCGAGAACAAAGGTGATGCGACGAGAACAAAGGTGATGCGACGAAGATGGAATGCTGAAAAATGAGTGGTTTTATACTCCTCTCAAGTACTCAGAGTTTCAATGCTCCGATTTCACTACGGCGTCATAGCTCAGTTGGGAGAGCAGCAGACTGAAGTGATCATTGATTCGCACTTGAAATTTGAAATCTGAAGGTCCCGTGTTCAAGCCACGGTGATGCCATTTTCTTCCTTGCGTCATTGCCGGCTTCGATGAGAACTTTGCCCTATCCTTTCGTTTTCAAACCCCTGGAATTCGATGTCGATTGACCATTATTTGTCTCAGGCCGACATATGTGGCTCTTTGTTTTCTTGTCATTGACGCCGGTGTTGTACGGCCCGGTCATCATTGACAGGTCGGTTGGCTTATTGCTAGCTAAAGCTACGAGAGCTTGCTCCGGCTAGCATAAGCGTAAGATAAGGTAGATGACAAGATGGAGGACGGATCCCTCCGGGCACATGACTCGTGACTTTGCTGTCACGAGTCACATCTTTTCTTCGTGCTCGCGACATCCTCCTCGTCCCAGTCGTCTTCGCCTCGCCCGCGAATTTTCGACTATCTTCTTACGGGGGCATGCCTCCCTCTATGCTCTTCTACTTGGCTTTCTCCCAAGTCCTTTCGGCCCGTCTTGGGACCGTCTGCACACCTTGCTCCTCGGCCCACTTTGTGGCGCGAGGGAGTACTGCGGGCCTATCTCGGTGGCCCATCAAGATTCTATTGCCTTTGGGCTTATGCTTTGGATGTCCGCTGAGTGCTCATTTCTAAACTTTTTATGTAGCTGCACTCGGGTGGTTCCTGATGTGCAGGGGCATATCTTGCCATTCATTTCTATGCTGGGCATGCACCTGGGTGCATGCTTGACCTCCCTCACCAGGAGGTCGTTCAGCTGTTCCCACCCTTTTTCTCTCCATCTATCTCTTGTCGGGTATGCCTTATGGTGTATTTGAATCCTGGGGGCAGAGATGTTGTTTGGCACGATCTGCTTGGCAATCATCTGTGCAAGTGGGTCGGGAGGGCACTCCAGGATCCCCGGGGACCGCTGGAGGGGTCCCTTTCAGCTCTTCTATCTTAACTGCCGAGTGCCATTTCCGCACTATGATATCCTGCACCCTTGATTTGTACGGCTTGATCTGGGATGGCTATCGTACATCGTACCACCCATCCAGATCCATGGGGTGGGACCCATCCATACCTCCTCCTCTCCTTCTCCGCTCCACTCCTTTATGGTGTTTTCGGTCTCTTCGATTTGCCCTTCAAAGGCGAGCTTTGCTCTTGGGAGCGTTGCTCCGTTTGGTATTTCTCGGGCTTCATCTTCATCTCCGAAGAGCCCCTGGAGTGCCTTGTGTACGAGATTGACCTCGCGATCCAGAGCCAGCCTCTCTCGCTCAGCTTTCATGCTGCCGATTGAGGGCTTCCGTTCTGGACCGGGCCGGTGCGCCCCGTGCTCGCCGGTAGTGTCAATCTCTTGACAAACCGATAACTCTCCCAATTTTTTGATATATTCATCAGATTCGCTCTGGTTTTCTGTAGCATATATACTTGTGTTATATGCTTGCTCATCATGTCTCATATCTATCTAGAGTCCTCGCACCTAGTCTACCTTATCGCTAAAACGCTTGACCTGGCACCATACAGAGATCTCTAGGCTGCCCTGGGTCTCACTCAATTCACCCTTTCAAAAGGACGCGACCTTTTCGCTGGCGGCGCTTCCTACTATAATCCCAATGAAGGCCTTCAAAGACGTCGATGGACAAGGCACTCGACTTAAATGGCAAACGGGGCTAGGGCATTCAAGTTTCAACGCATCCTCCCGCATGCACTGCCGGCTGACGCCAAGGCAGCACCATCATCGTCATCCGGATTCCCAACCTACCTGCGCCCACCGGAAGTTCCGGAACAAGTAGCAGCCGCCCACAAGCCGCCCACAATATAAAAAAGTACATAAAGTTTTGTTTACGCTAGCCCACAACTCTCATCCTGCATGCCACAGGATAGCAAGATCCTCGTACTTGCTCTCGGCGCAGCTGCGCTCGTTGCATCCATTTACTATGCTAAACGCAAGACAAACGTAGCTCCCTACCCACCTGGTCCCAAGCCGGTGCCCGTCCTCGGCAATGCTCCGGATCTGCCTCAATCCCAGACCTGGATAACTTTCTCTCGATGGGCGAAAGAGCACGGTAAGACCCTCAACCTGAGCTCTGAGACCTTACACTCATCTTACGACCAGGACCTATCGTGCATCTCAGGGTTCTCGGCCAATCAATCATAATTCTCAACGATATAAACCACGCAATGGAAATGCTGGACAAGAAAAGCCGCATCTACAGTAACAGACCCCAACTCGTCATGGGTGGAGAGCTCGTTGGCTGGGACCAGGGCCCGGCACTCATTCAATTCGGGAAGAGGTGGTCGGAATATCGCCGGTTGATGGCACAGTTCCTGGGCACCCGTACCAAGATTGAAACAGCCTATAACCCGCTACTCGAAAAATCAACACATGTGTTCCTACACGGGCTCCTTCAGAGCCCGAGCATGTGGAAAGAACACGGGTATAGGTATGTCGGACGTTCATCGTCTGCGATGAAAATGACCCTTTCGCCTTTCTTCCAGATTCGCCGGCGCGATTGTGCTTCAGATCGCGTACGGCTATCGAGCCGAGGATGAAAATGACCCGCTTGTTAAGTTAGTTGACGAGGCCATGGAGCAATTTTCTGAAGTGACGGCACCGAATGCGTTCGCCGTCGATATATTCCCCTTTCGTTGGTCTTGTTCTCCAGCGGCATCCTGCGACGACTCATTAGATCCCCAGTTCGATTTGTTCCGCAATGGTTTCCCGGCGGTTCTTGGAAGAAGAAAGCCAGCCATTATCACAACACACTCCAGTCCATGCTCGAAACACCGTTCAACTGGGTGAAAAAGCAGATGGTGAGTTGCTCAACTTCTTTTTTCCAACTCTCTCCTAAACGACCCAGGTCGAGGGAACGTCGATTTCGTGCTTTGTATCGGATCTCCTTGACTCGGTGGAAGCCTCCAGAGAAGAAGAACAGGTTGTCAAGTGGGCGGCTGCGGGCATTTACAGCGGTTAGTTGCCCGCGCACTTCTCGATTCTATGTGACTCAAGGATAATTCATCGCAGGCGGAGCTGAAACGGTTTATTGAGCTTTCGTCCTCAAGAGGGCCCTTCTGATTCTCACGACAGACTGCCGCAGTGTTCGAGACATTTATTCTTGCGATGGTTCTCCAACCAGAGGCTCAAAGTAAAGCTCAAAGTGAACTAGACGCGGTTCTTGGACATTGTACGGCCCCTCGGCTGTCAGATCGACCGCGTTTACCGTTCATGGAGGCGCTCATCTCCGAGGTTCTCCGGACTTATACTGTAGGACCAGTTGGTGCGGTGATCTTCAAGTTGCAGTCATCGTTAGTCTGATACCCAGCTATCTTGCAGGTCTTCCGCACGTCGCGTCCGAGGTCGACGTACACGACGGTTACTTCGTCCCGAAGGGTACTATAATTTTCACAAACAACTGGTCAGCCGTTATTATCCGTTTCAATGCGCCAAGTAATCCGATCCGGTGTTAGGCTCTTTTATCGTGACAATAACACCTACGCTGATCCGGAAACCTTCCGTCCGGAGCGCTTCATCGAGACCGCGGCTCACGCGAAAGAGAAGGATCCAAATGATATTCTGTTCGGATTCGGACGCAGGTATGAGTTCAGTTGCAGATGTCACCAGGATGTTGAATTGATTCAATCTTGCAGAGCTTGTCCTGGTAAGACCTAGTCTTTCAAGTGGCCCTCGAACTCATCCGCGAGCGGCCCTCAGGAGTTCATCTCGCTGACATGACTATGTGGCTCTTGTTTACATCCATCTTGGTATTCTTTGAGATCAGCCCCGCCATCGAAGATGGCGTTCCAGTCTTTCCGTCAGGGAAATTCTTGGATGGCATGATCAGGTGCATATTCATTCAAGTATGCTCGACTGCTCGTCACTGATGTTGATTAGTCACCCTGAGCCGTTCAAATGTACCATAAGGCCTCGGAAGGGAGCGGAGGAGGCTATCCAACGCCTTTTAGACGCATAAGATGGAAGTTGGCAGGTACTTACATTGTGTTCAATCTGAATGGCCTATTTCATGGGGATATTGACTCGCAAAGTCCCCCAATTAACTGTGCTACTTTCCTCGTATGCGTGCGGTGGTCCTCGATATGTGTTCGGGTGTCTCGGCGAAAAGTTGAACAAAATGCAAACACTGCCACATAATGTCATCGCCACCGGTCTGACTTGGCACAGGAACATGATGCCGGTGCAACAATGATGCTGCTGCAGCTCCATCTTTCCTCCCATGGACCTCCCCGTCGCATCTTCCACCAACAAGGGCTATCTGAGGCTCTCACGGGGGGGTGGGGATGCGGAGAGTTGCAATGCCATCATAGCTGGCAGGCTCTACCTCGGGAAGTACGATGTTTCCATGTCTCAGCAGCGAGCACCAGCCCTGATGTGTGCAGCTTGTCCGCAGCAGAATGTCCTCAGCTCTCGTCTCGCCTGGGAATAACGCATATTCTGTCTGTCTGCCCCGACTATCTGGCACCTGCCGCAAACGTGCAGCATCTGACTCTCCCGATGGTTGACGACGAACACTACGACATCCTGCAGCATCTGCCGAATGCTTGCCATTTTATTCAAGACGCTCTGGACGGCGGAGGACGGGTGCTCGTCCATTGCGTTATGGGAATCTCTCGCAGTGCGGCGGTCGTCTGCGCCTACCGTAGGCATCTCTGTTGTTCACGCCCAGCCATCTCCCTCATTGGACATGACGCAGTTATGTTCTCACGCCAATCATCTGCTGCGCAGGCGATACAATTTGTGCGAACACGTGAGACGCCCAGCCGTCCCCAGCTTCTGCTGATTGGCAATTATATCGCAGGACGCCCACAGAGCAGACCCAATCATAATTTTATTCGCCAGCTCCAAGTTTTTGGTGAATTCAACTACGAGATCTCACCTGCAACGCCCGCCTATGTGGCGTGGAGGACGCGGCAGGACTTCGACGAAGCTAACTCGCTCCTTGTAATTTATGGTATGGCCGTGACCGACCGACTGTTCCTCAGCCTGTGCGTCGCGCCTCCATTGGCCGTTCACTCTGCTTCAACTCTGTGCAGCGACTTCCCAGCGAACCCATCGC